CACCACCCCCACCACCACCACCACCACCACCACCACCACCACCACCACCACCACCACCCCAAGCTGAAGAACAGGACTGACGTATCATGTAGAGTACAAACGGGAGCAGGTCAAAGCAGGGAGTGGGGAGGAGAAGGTGAGCATTGTCTTAGAAGCACAGCAGCTCAGAGTGGACCTGCTAACTTCCTACAAGGTGTGGTGGGCAGAGAATAAAGGCCTCCAAAGATGTCCCTGCCCTAGTTCTAGAACCCGTGAATTTGTCCCCCACATGACAAAAGCACTTTGCGATGTGACTAAGGTTAAGGACCTGGAGATCCTGGATTATCCAGGTGAGCCCACTGCAATCACAAATCCACAAATGCAGATGAGAAAGGCAAGGAAGTTGGGAGGAGGAGAAGCGATTCAAAGTGTGACAGGGACTCAACTGCTACTGCTGGCTTTGACAGTGGAGGAAGGGAGCCATGAGTCAAGGGATCTGAGTGACCTTTAAAAGCTGGGGACAGCCCCGAGCTGACAGCCAGTAAGGGAATGGGGGTCTCACTCACCACTGGGAGAAACTAAACGCCTCCAACAACTCACTGAGCAAGGAAATAGATCCCATCCCAGAGCCTCCTGAAGCTCTGTCCACACCATGATTTTAGGCCAGTGAACCAGTGGTGGACTTCTGATTTACACAACTGTAAAATAATATACTTATGTGGGTTAAGCTGATACACTTGTGCTAAATATGGCAGCAACAGAAAACAAAAAGCTGTTCAGACAGCCACTTGCTAATACGCAAATTAAGAAGTTCAAGAGAGGGAAAATGACAAGAGGAAGAAAAGAATCTCAATAAGGAAGAAAAAGAGAAGCTGAGAAGGCAGCAGAGACTATGGGAAGGAGGGAAGGTGTCATTGTTTCCGAGCTCATGGAAGGCAGGTCGTTGTTTTACGAGGGCACTCAATGTTTCATCAGTATCTGCGCCTGCTTTTCTGAACAAGAGAAGCTTGGAGAATATCCAGTGGAGTCACATTCATCTGTGAAAACAGCACAGTGCCTTTTCTTCCTTCACCTTTTCCAATCTTCTTCTCGCACTACTTCACCCAAAATGGAACTCAGATTTTCTCTAAAATACCTTTTCCTCTGCAAACCTCTTTAAAAGAAACTACTTGGCTACTCTTTTCCCCAACTATTCTCAACAAATGGGAGAAAAAGGTTTCTAAACTATTCTCAATGTATGGGAGAAAAGGGTTTCTAGGCATGTTGTTCATTTCCTACTACCCCCTCCCATGCTGTTGTTCAGTCATCTCTCAATCATCTTCATTTCTTAAATGTAAAACGTCCACTCTCCGAGACACTTTCCCACTCAGTGGTAAACACTTGGCTCACAACCTTCCTTTTCATCTCTTCCCTGGCTGTTATGCCGAAACACTTTGGCATCCATTTTGATAAATCTTTCTACATCCTGATCTTGCCTCAACTTCAGTTTTATCATGTCCAAATCTTACTTGCCTGTCTAAACATTCTCCTTGAAGGCTCAGTTCAAACTGGATCTCTGAGGCATCTCTCCCAGATGAGTACACTTCTCCCTCTTCTGCATTTACCTAAACATTTATGGCTGAATTTCTAATTTGTAAGTTAGGTACTTGGTCTTAGGTTATCACTTCCCATTTGGATAGAGATTTAATAAATAAGAATGTTCACTACTATTACTTAGGAATGACTGGATAAAGAGTGACATATTTCTGAGACCATTAAAACAGCCATTAAAAGTTACAATTTTGAAGAATATTTAATGACATGAGAAAATGTTCAAGCTACAAAGTCAAAAGATACTTACATACTTGTAATTTATAATTTACATGTCTGTTTCCCCATTAGAATGAACTGATCAAAGGCAGATTTTTTTATCTTTAAATTGCCTCTTATTAATCTTTGTAACCTTAACATCTTTCCTGATACAGATATTTTTACTGAGGAGGAAAAAAAAAAGATGGATTCTGGTATGTTAGTGAAACAAAAGACTGACTCCAGTGTGATGCCACTAATCTAAAAAGCCGGGAATCCAAGGCCCACACTGGATCACTGATGGGACAAAATACCAGCAGAGCTTGGTTCAGAACCCAGCTCCCTCAAGGCCCAGGGCTACTCTTCCCACCCCACTGTCCCATGCACACTGCTACCATCCTCTTCAACCTCTGGGGCTGTTAATTTATTCCTCACACCTCTTAAATTTACTTACCGCTGGACTCTTCTACTTCCTAGTTCAATTTTCTGTTTTTGTTTCCATATTGGATCCTTTCCCACTCATCCATCTTCATTGCTACTCTTCATTATTCTTTTCTAAAAATAGCTTTACTGATACGTAACTTCTGTACCATAAAGTTCACCTACTTAAAGTACACGATTCAATGGTTTTAAGAATAGTTAAGAGTTGCGCAGTCATCACCATCATCTTATCTATTTATTTGCTTAGTTAGTGAAATACAGGTATTATACAACACTGTACTGGCTTCAGGTGTACAAACAACATAGTGATACAACAATTAAATACATTACTAAGCACTCATCACAATAAGTGTAGTTGCTGTCTGTCTACATCCAAAGATATTACAAGACCATAATCTAATTTTAAAACATTCTCATAAGCCCTCGTAGCTATTAGTAGTCATTCCTTATTCTGTCTCCCCCTACTCCTGGCAACCATTAATCTTTCTGTCTATATGGTTTTGTCTATTCTGGATATTCTTCATTTTTCTTATTAATCTTATTTGTTTTAATCTGCTACTGCTTGTAATTCCCAGGTCTAACTTGAGCAGAAGTACCTCAGTGCCTTTTCCTGGATACATCTCCACTGGCAGGACTGCCTAACTGGACCAGTCTCCTTCAGTTGGTTTTTAGAAGCACATCACATATGCTGCTCAGTAAGAGCATGAATGTTACAATTGGCAACCTGTCATTTCACATAAAAAGAGACATGCCAAGAAGAAAGACAAGTACCAAATGATTTCACTCATATGTGGAGTATAAGAACAAAGGAAAACTGAAGGAACAAAACAGCAGCAGACTCACAGAAACCAAGAATGGACCAACAGTTACCAAAGGGAAAGGGACTGGGGAGGATGGGAGGGAACGGAGGGATAAGGGCGGGGAAAAAGAAAGGGGGCATTATGATTAGCATTAGTATAGCCACAAGAGAAGATCCTACCATTTGCAACAACACGGGTAGAGCTAGAGGGTATTATGCTCGTGAAATAAACCAGGCAGAGAAAGACAAATACCAAATGATTTCACTAATTTGTGGAGTATAAAAACAAAAGCAAAACTGAAGGAACAAAATAGCAGTGGACTCACAGACACTGGGAAGGGACTAGTGGCTACCAAAGAGGAGGGGCTGGTGGGTGGGGAGGGAGAAGGGGATTAAGGTGCACTATAATTCACAATCACAATATAGGTAGGTCATAGGGAAGGGAGTATGTACAGAAAAGACAATGAATGACTCTATTAGCATCTTACTATATTGATAGTGACTGTAATAGAGAGGGTAAGACTTGATAATAAGGGTTAAATGCTGAAACCATTGTTATTTATATGAAACCATAAGACTGTTTATCAATGATACTTTAATAATTTTTTTTAAAAAGCAAACAAAAAAATTAAAAAAACACATTCTCTATTTTTCTATTATTTCATTATACTTCTCTGCTTTGGAATCAGAAAAAAAGGTATAAAAGAAGTTATCAACTGTGACTATTTTTAGAAACTTCACCAAAGTACAGAACAGGCCCAGTATTAGTGCTATCACTGAATTATGAATTATGATCTGTGTGCCTTCAGGTTCCGGTGGTCCTGCAATACTGAAGTGAAAACCACAGTGGCTGTAACTCTATATTCTCCCCAGCTTTTACAGGGTAAAAACCGTTCAGAAAGTCACTAGCTATCTTGGAAAAATGTTTTCTCTCCAAAGTACATAATCTACACAGACTCTGTGTTTAGGGTGAGGACTGTAGAACTGATGCCATTTTCTGAGAGTTCCAGATGCCTCCTCAAAGTAAACTATTAAGTCTATGCACAACCAAATCATACTATCATAAATACAGGGCTCAGAGACACACATCAGAACTGAGGAGTCATGCTAAGGGCTTAGAATAGGAAAAAACATCCCACACATGCTCATCCTGATTCATCCAATATCAAGACAATGTATGTAAATGTATCTTTATGATCTATCCATTTCCTCAGCCTGCTGGTCTTTGTCTAAACACTTGTACCATGAAGTGAAGTTGTCAGTCTTCAGGAATTTGCCTCAGGTATACTTAAGTGCTAAGTCAAACTGCTTTAACTTTTAAACTTGCTTCATAATTCTGTTTTTACTTTTAATTAATTGTTCTCTTTAAAAGGATTAAATTCATTTTCCAAAAATCTGAAAAAACCAGCTATGCCAGTAAGTATGCCAAACACTAGGATGTTATCATCCCTTTAAGGGAGAATAATAGCCTAAAGTAAGAGAAGCCATTTGTTCTGGCTCTTAAAGATTGGAATTCTGTGTGTCTACTTCCTCAGTTTAGAATTGGAAATCTTGAGGGGAAAAAAAATGCTTTTTCTCATCACAGAATGTGACTCACACATACTTGATAAAATCTCAGAGCAGGTATATCCTCACTCATAAAGTAAGAAACATTTCCCCTCTGCAAAACCTAAGCTCAAACTCTTCAATTTTTAGTGAGTTCTAAGACTCACAAACTACAAATATAGTGGGTGTGATATGCAAAGAATATTTATGTAGGAGATGTTATGTGAATTAAAAGTCTTTCAATGCAATTCAGTGATAAGAAATAAAGTTATTACATTACCCAAGATCTAAATTTGGAGGACAAAGATGCTAGATCACTTTAAACTTTTTAAAAACCCAGGTTTGACTTGTTATTTCAGATACTTTATTGATTGAACTGACTTTTGTTTGAATACTATGTATAATACTAACTCCAGCAAGTCTTAAAGGTAAAACTCTCCATGTCAGTGATTTTTCCAACCACTTTCCATTGCCTCTCCAGACTAAGCCACAGTCTCAAAGCTGTGATTCTGTCACCATTCCATCCTTCCCCTAGCACGCAATATTTTGTTTTCTCTTATCTGGCTCTTCCTCTGAGGGAATATTATGAGTAAAGAATGCTGTGAATGCCCCAATAATTGTTCAGCTCTGCAGGAAGAAGGAGAAACTAAGAACTAACATTGGAAAAATTTGCACAGAACTTTAAAAAAAAACCTCTGAGGAAACCCAGAATGAGTAGCAGGATAACGAAGTATTTCTCAAATGTTTTCAGTTCATTAAAATCAATTAGTCTAGCTTCTTTAAACTTGAGTCTCCTATCTCCAAACCCACTTACCTTTTCCACAAAACCATATTCCTTCATTCACAGTTCTCAAAAAATTTTAAGGTACAAGATGACTATGATTTTTCTTGACTACCATTCTCTACAACCTCTATACCAAGTCGTGTGGGTGACCATGTTTAATTGACATATATATATTTACCTTCAACCCCAATTCCCTGGGTTAGTGAATAAATATATTATACCAAAACACATCAGATTAAAGCCTTATACACCTAGTAGGTAAATAGATTAAAAACAATGTTCCACTTTGTTCTGAAGCCGTCTTTATTTCATCTTCAAGACAGAAATTCTTTGAACACAGGAAATGGTTCTTATACGGTGTACCCCATAGTGCCCGAGAGAGGGCAAGCCTTGCACTTGAGATCTACTTTCTCTTGCTGATGTTTTCTCACAAAATGAATGCCACCTTTATACTCCTTAAGACTTGATAGTCCTTTAGCTGGAAAATATTTCATTTCTAAATATTTTATACATCAGTTTCCCACGTTTAATGTTGCTGAATTAGTGGGACAGAAGCACACTAGTTGGGAAAAGATCCTTAGATGTCATTCTTATACCTTGAGATGACATGAAGTCTGCCCAGTGCCCAGTTCTCTTAAAGAAACGCTTAGAGAAACTGGGGTGGGAATCTGTTACAGGTTTTCTGTCCAGAAGAATACAAAGCAATGAAAGAATTTAGGACTGTCATGAGCAGTCCATGCCTAGGAAAGGTTCTGTTAGAAGCACACAGAACACCTGCTGTGGGCTAGATACAGGCAGATATTTTCAGGGCCTTACACTACCTCTGACCTCACCTCCTCCCACCCCCAGCACAATAAACATGAGAGACAGGAAGCGACGAACAGGAGAGTGGCTGAAGGGGCGACTAGAAGGCATTGTCACTAAAGGGTTTCGACTGGGTCCTGAGACAGATAGGGAACCGTCAAGAGTCTACAGTGAGCAGTGACACAGCCACAGCTGAGTTCTGGAAGGCGCACTGAATGCAAAGGTGTAACTAGAAGGCAAGCGGAGCACAAAGAAAGCAGGGAGACTACTGAAAAGAAGACAAGATGCAGAGGGTGGACGGCGCTGGCTGGGAGAAGGAAGGACTTGTAAGCCAGCCTAGGCAGGCTGCCCAGTGGGGTCTGAGGGTTAGGGCGGAAGGAGAAACAACCAGCAAGAGCCCCTCAGGGCTCCCGGAGAGCCCTTCACAGCTTTCAGCGCCGCTGCCACACAACCTCAGAGCCCTCCCTCCTCCCCGCCTCCCCCTGCTCTCCCGCTGACCGAACGAGTTGAGAAAGTCCGCGATTTTCTTGATGCTGCTGGTGATGACCTCAATGTACTCCCGGTTCGCCCAGTCCTGGTGAATCTCCCGCTGTACCGGATCCTCTTGCCCCGCCATGGCTGCGGCCTAAGGAAGAGCGACTGCGCAGGCGCCTCAACCCTCCAGGCCTCCAGTGCGCCTGCGCCGCCATCCCCTACGCCCCATCCCTTTGGCACCCACCATGCCGTGGGCATTGCGGTGCGCCTGCGCAATGTCACGTATTCGCCTGCGTTTTCGCTCTTCTCCCACGACCGTTAAACAGTAGCCTCAACACCAGCAGGCAGAACGAAGTGCGCACGCGCTAAGAGCCTTCCTGACCCGCCCCCCACCAACATACCCAGTTATTGGCAGTTACGGTCGTCAGGGGTGTGCGTAGGCCCGTGTCACAATCTCTCTCAGCTACTCCTAACGAAGGTCGTGTCTGTTTCAGCTATAAATTGGGCATAGCGGATTAAACTTTTAAATTTAGCTCATTTTTTAAATGCCTTTCAATAACGAAACATGATGTCCCACCTTGCATTTATCAAATGAACAAACGTTCATACCCAGTGATGGAGAGGCTGAGGGGAAATTGGTAGGCTCGTAAATAGGTGGTCACATTGTAAACAGGCACAATCCCTTCAGAAAGAAATTTGTAAATCGATAGCAAGAGCTGTAAAAAAAAAACATTTTTTGACCTAATCATTTAATTAAGAAATAATTGTAAAAAAAGAAAAAACACACTTTAAACTCAAAGGTGCTTTTTGTATCATTGTCTTTTCAAAAAACGAAAACTAAATCTCCAGAGTTGGGAAATGGCCAAACAATGGTATACTATTTATGACACTATTATGTAACCAATATTTATTTATAATCGCCTTGTGCAGTAAATGCCTTTTTTTTAAAAATTGTGGTTGAATAGTCAGATTATTTAGAGCAGCAGCTGAGAAGAAACCATTACTAACAGTCCTTTACTCAGGTAAATCTTACAAGCTATAAAGCTGCTTTTACAGCTATAACCTCACTGGACCATCACAAACCCTGTGGAAGGAGGTCTGGAAAAGTTTTCTCATTGTAGAGATGAAAAAAACTGAAGTTCAAGGTCATACAGCCAACTAAGTGATAGACCTTCACCAGCTGATTCGACTCCAATACCTTTTCATTGTATCAATGTGAAAACAGGTTCAGGTCTATCTGAGCTCTCCTACATATTCATATAAATGATTTCTAACGTATAATAAACATCAACCCTAAATACTGAACCACAGGCATGTAGAAGGCTCTTTGCCATTCAAGCCAGAATGCTATTGAAGTTAGTATTTATTCTTCCTAAGAGATGCTATTGAAGTTAGTATTTTGTTCACGTCACAGAGAAGTTAGATTGATCTGCTTTTCCTTTAAAAGGTAGGCATCTCAGTTTCAAGTCACATATCTACCATAGAGGTAGATCTTACACACCTCTGAGCTTTGGTTTCTTCATGTATAGTACAGGAGTAAGAACATGGATGGGTTGATTGTTGGGAGAATTGAGAGAAAGGATAAATAAAACACTAGGCACAGTGCCTGACTCTTCACAAAGCATGCACTCATGATCAGTTTACATTTTCTTTTTATGCAGAAAGAAGAAAACAAAATACACATATCTATCCTTAATTTTTTTTATGATTGTCTTCCATGGACAAGGCAGGTTCAGCTCTTCTTTCCCTTGACTCCCTATACACCTGTTTCAGTTTCTCCCCTGTAATTCTGAAGTTTTAGGGACATGGTGCTATTCTGGAGTGAAGAATATTTCTCTGGACTTATCCCTGTGGGGCGCCTCGAGCCCTGACCGCCCCTTCCTTCGATCCCGCAAGGCTCGCGCTCCCCGGCAATGCTGGGTCACAAGGCGGTTGCCAGGCGCCCGGCGGAGAAAAAATGCGGCCAGGAACAGCAGCGGCCACTCTGGAGCGTGAAGCCAGTGGAGTTCAGTAGGTGAGCCCCTGCCCAGATGGTGGTACCGCCCCGGGCTCCCACCGCCATCTCCGCCTTAGCCAGAGCCATCGGGCCCCCACCCCCGGGTAGCGATCTAAGCCCCTTCTACCGGCTGGGAGGGGGAGCGTCCCGCACTCCGGCAGCTCCAGCCCCTCGGGATCGCAGTTCACAGTCCAAGAGGATCTCAGCTGCACTTTAACGCTGACTTCCCTTCTCCCAGGTGCGGAAATCGAAGGGCCGTTGCCTTTAAACTGGAGGAGCGATATGAAGAAGGGGAAGGCTTCTTGGCCAGGAAGAAGTACAAGGTGTTTTTCCTTGTCTAGGAGCTATTAGAGCGGCTTGAATTGTCTTCCTAGGTTCAACCCCCTCTTGGAGTGGATTTCTTGGTGGTAATAGGGATGAACTATCTTTATTTAAACATTGTTTGAAAGTGGTGGAAAAACCTGGGGTCAGAAGCCCTCTCTCACTCCGTGTTGGTTAGGCTTAATGCTTAGACCAGACATTTGATAAAGCCTTTTACTTCTGGTCTTACGTGCTCCTACTAGGTGAGTAAGGTAATATCCTGGGATTCTTGGTCATATGCTCATAAGAGTTAACACCCTGTACCCCTCACCCTCCTGGCCTTGGTGGTATACCAGTGGAGCAGCCCTGATCTTAGATGTATACTCTTAGGGTCATGACATCAAGCACAAAAATCAAACAAGCACAGGCTGTTTGGAATAGATAAACTGTCCCTTGGGTGTCATCTTCTCGTCCTATGGCAGCCCAGATATTTGAACATGTATGTGAAAGGGTGTGCACGGATCAGCAAAAACATACCTGTTGAAAGCAACCAAGAAACCTCCTTTATACTAACCATTGTCAGGGGCAAATATTCTGGTTTGAAATATCACCAATTCTTAAAAAATGAATTGTCTCACAAACTATGGTGCAGGTGTCACCTTTCCACAGCATCTGGGCGATTACTGGATGGGAAGGGATGAAATCTGCTGCTGTTACCTTTTGTGGGAGAAGACAGAAGGGGCAGAGAAATACAATTGGCTAGAAAAAAAAGGGATCTGCTATACCCCTTACCATAAGAGGTAAGTGCTCAAAAGATGTTAGCTCCTCCTGAATTCAGTAAAACCCTTTATACAGTGGCAATTATAAAGTGGAATGATGGAAAAATCCATTCTACTTGGGTAAATTTTGAATTAGCAATATCCTCCTAGCCCTTCCTTTTATCTTTAAAGTTGGGGTAGAGAGGAGTGGGAATCAAGGTGTTAACCCCTGGGTCTCCCACAGATAAGATCAACAACAAACAGCAAACACAGAAAGAGCAACCAGAAAGATCTCTTAAAATTCTGGAAACTTTTCCCTTCCAGCCTGGTGTAATTCCTTTGAAATGGTAAGTAAGTAGCTCAGGGCACTGAGTTGCTTCCTGTGTCAAAAACAGGTGAAAGTTGAAGTTGCCAAAAGGAAACAAACTAAGTTCTCAAACTATAAGTACATCATAACCCCCTGGAAGATTTGTTTAAAATGCAGATTGCAGGGCCCTTTCTGATTCAGTAGGTCTGATACAGGGCCCAAGAGCCTGCATTTCTACCATGTTCCCAGATGATGCGGAAGCTGCTAGTCCTGGGATCATACTTTTGAGAACCATCATTATAAAGCACATGGAACTTAGTCACAAATATTTGGTAACATGTGGCATTCCTCAGTGTCTAACCACAAATAATAAGCTCTCACCATTTAGTGCCAGCAGCCTCTGCCACCTCAGAGCTGTGGGTTCTGGCTTTAGTATTTACCAACACAGCAAAGGTCCTAATGGTGAACTGGGATGCTCCCATTTTGGACAAACCCATTTCCTTATCTGTAAAATGGGTTGAAGTCTTCCTTCAGAGGCTTGTGATGAGGTTTAATAAAGTTTTAGTACACATAGCAGTTGTCAGATTCAGTACTTCTTACCATCTCCTACATCCTTTATAGAGTTATTAGTACCCTAACATCTATTTGAATCTGTTGAGCTACAGAGTAAGTTAAAGTCAATAAGACAAATGTGAATTTGAATGGCTATGCCCTTACCAAAATCATGCTAGGGAAACTACATGTTTTAATTCCTCTCTTTTAAGGCTCTCAATGGCAGTATACCAGCTCTGGTCACCACGGACCCCACTGGATGAGAGCTTCCAATGGCTGCGGCATACAACACCTAAACCTTCTTCCAAGCACCCCTTCAGGGCTTCCCCCTGCTTCCCACATACTCCTTCTGACCTTGAAGTACAGCTGTGCTTTCAAGAGGTCACTCTAGTTCTAGACACACCATTTCTGGAGCCTGGGGTGAGTCCCAAGTTACCTTGCCATACGTCAGAGCTCCGAACTATGAACAAGAAAGGGCTGGTCAGGAAGCCCCAGCCTGTCCGCCTCAGTGGACTGGATTCAGTGTTTGGCAGGGTCATCACAGCTTAGCCACCAAAGTGGACTAGCACCCTCAGAGTTTCAGACAAGTCAGCCTTTTGTAAAATCATAAGCCAGGAGCACCAGTGGCCCACTGGACTGAAGGAACCTCAGATTCAGATGACAGTGACCATGTGCAAACAGATATTGCACTCAATCCTCCTGCTATATGCAACATACAAGAAGTACACCTTTGTCTTACTGCACTCCAAGTAAAGGGTCACCATCTGATTCCCATTTCTCCTACCATGCTCTTTGCTGTGTGCCTGAAGCTTACAGAAACTTGTCCAAGATCAAACCAGCCATCTTGCTTTTCTGTCAAGCACTGACAATTCAGGATCCCCTTTCCTCCCTTCCCCTCCAAAAAAGGGTCAGTGACTGAGCAAGGAAGAACTTTTCCCTTGTAAAGTTAAATCACCATTTAAAAGACAATCAAACTAGCACTGATACATACATGTGAGAGCCACTAAACAAACCATACAAACCAATGAGCCTAGTGTGAACTCACTTAAACATGTAAGATCCCAATGAGATGGGGAAACAAGGAAGGAAACTGGATTTCTATGTATATGAAGATGAAAGGGTCAAAAATCTACATGTGACTCAAGGATTAATTTTAAAAACAAAACACAAATGACTTCTCCCACCAAAACAATAAAAAACCTAACCGGTCACAGCCTAATACCACTGGAGAGTACACAAGTGGATGGTGGTAGTAAATCTTAAATATTTATAGCCTAGCAAGAAAAAATTTGCTAGCAGCACTGAAACTGGCCTTTCTGGAAGAATACATGAGAGCTCCCCATTTTAGCTGAAGTGTATACATTTTGTTTTATTATTTATTTATTTGTTGATTTTCTTTTGGTGTCATTAATCCACAATTACATGAGGAACTTTATGTTCACTAGGTGGCCCCTTTCACCAAGTCCCCCCAACAAACCCAATTTCAGTCACTGTCCATCAGCAGAGTAAGATGCTATAGAGTCACTACTTATTTTCTCTGTGTTGCACAGCCCTCCCCGTGCCTACCCCCACATTATATTGCTAATTGTAATGTCCCCTTTCTTTTTCCCCCTCCTTATCCCTCCCATCCCACCCATTCTCCACAGTCCCCTTTCCATTGGTAACTGTTAGTCCATTCTCAGATTCTGTGATTCTGCTGTTTTGCTCCTTCGGTTTTTTCACTGTTCTTATACTCCACATATGACAGAAATCATTTGGTATATGTCTTTCTCTGCCTGGCTTATTTCACTGAGCATAATATCCTCTAGCTCCATCCATGTTGTTGCAAATGGTAGGATGTTTTCTTCTTATGGCTGAATAATATTCCATTGTGTATACGTACCACCTCTTCATTATCCATTCATCTACTGATGGGACACTTAGGTTGCTTCCATTTCTTGGCTATTGTAAATAGTGCTGCCATAAACATAGAGGTGCATCTGTCTTTTTCAAACTGGGCTGCTGCATTCTTAGAGTAAATTCCTTAGAAGTGGAATTCCTGGGTCAAATGATATTCCTATTTTGAGCTTTTTGAGGAACCTCCATATTGCTTTCCACAATGGTTGAACTAATTTACATTCACACCAGCAGTGTAGGAGGGTTCCCCTTTCTCCACAACCTTGCCAATATTTGTTGTTGTCTGTCTTTTGGATGGTGGCGATCCTTACTGGTATGAGGTGATATCTCATTGTGGTTTTAATTTGCATTTCTCTGATGACTAGCAATGTGGAGCATCTTTTCATGTGTCTGTTGGCCATCTGAACTTCTTCCTTGGAGAACTGTCTGTTCAGCTCCTCTGCCCATTTTTTAATTGGATTATTTTCTTTTTGTTTGTTGAGGTGCGTGAGCTCGTTATATATTTTGGATGTCAACCCTTTATCAGATCTGTCATTTATGAATATATTCTCCCATACTGTAGGATGCCATTTTGTTCTACTGATGTTGTCCTTTGCTGTAAAGTAGGTTTTCAGCTTGATATAGTCCTACTTGTTCATTTTTGCTTTTGTTTCCCTTGCCCAGGGAGATATGTTCATGAAGAAGTTGCTCATGTTTATGTCCAAGAGATTTTTGCC